GTTCCATTCCACGCCCAGAACTTTTAATTGATTAGGCACCTGATAACCCGGAAATTCTTTCTCGATTATCTGGTTTAATGATTTATTGTTTGAGGCCCATGATTGTAGTGGCATATTGGCTCCTAACAATTCACGGTTAGCCTCATGGTAGATTTCTACCAATTTGGATTTGTCATTTGTAGTTCCCTGGAAATTATCGACATACAGGTTGTCACTGATCTCCGTTTTATAAGGGCTATTTGACTTCTTCAAATGTGTATCTAATGTGGCATGAAGTAGAAACTGGGGGGAAGTCGCTCCGAATAGCACAGAGGCAAACCGGTAGGTTATGATGTCACTGTCAGGATCCAGTGGGTCCTTAATCCAGAGAAATTTTGTGTAATTATGATCCTCTTCTTGCAAGCCTACTCTAAGGAAAGCTTTACTGATATCAGCAGTATAAGCAAAAATACCAGTGCGAAATCGTAATAATACATCATGTAGCTTTTGTGTTAGGCTAGGTCCCATTTGGAGACATTCATTCAAGGACACGCTGTTTGCCTTCACTTTGGCACTACAGTTGAAAACAATATGTATTGGCGTTGTCAATGAATCTTTCACCACAGCGTGATGGGGTAAATAGTGACCTGCTTTTCGGTCATCATTATCAACAACTTCGAAAAATTTGAGTCTGGCCCTCGCTTCGGTACGGGGCAGACGTGTTGCATCGGCACTCCAGCAGTTGGTGTTGTTTGCCCGTTTCGGCTGCTTGGGGGCGGGTGTGTCTCTGCTCGCCTGTGCTGACGTGGCGTTACGATGGGGGTCCCTCTACCCCCTGTCGTCCGGGCTCAGTCTGTGGGACTGGAGTTCTCTGTGCGGGCTGGTTACCTGGAGATTGCCCTGGCTTGTGAAATGCTCTCTGTCCCTGTGTTTGCAATTTATGGGGTCGAATTGGTAACGGCCCGTAGGGCAATTGTGAAGTTCGCAGAGGAGGTGGCATATCGCGATTTTCTCCGGCGATATGAGGGGCGGACACTACCCCTGCCGGATGGTGCGGGCACTGTAACCCTCTCGGATAGAAGTGGTGCACTTACTTACATCAGTGTGCATGGGGCTCCCTTGGAGTTTCCAGAGGCTCTGCTACGGCGGTATTTCGGCCGGTTTGGCGCAGTTGTTAGTGTGAGAGTGAACGTGGTGTCTTCTAGTCCTCTTAAGGGTGTGAGGTCTATCATTCGCACCCTGGGCATGAGACTCCGGGCGGATATTGCGTCCTCTGTGCACCTTATGGGGTACAACGTTCGGGTGTTTTACGCCCGTCAGCCGAGGACGTGTTATCGTTGTGGTCTTTTGGGCCATCAGGCTGCTGACTGTTCTGCGCCTGCTGTTTCTCCAGTGAATCTCTTCAGTGAGGAGGATTTTCCGCCCCTTCCTGTGGGGGATGATTCGGTGGGTGTGGACGTCTCTTCGGCTGAGGAGGTGCCCTCTGTATCAGCTGTTGCTCCGCCTGTTGCGCCCCCTGTTGTTGCCGCATCTCAGAGACCTGGGTGTCTAATATAAAGGCCTCATCACCTTTGTAAGCTATGATGTCAGGCTTGCAGAAGGTCCCTCTATCCGGTATACGGACTTCACGTTCCACCTAAAAACCTCTTTGCCGTAGGCGGCCGGCTACGAACCGGGTGATATCGTCATGACGTTTCACCCGAGCCCCATGTGTCTTGTAGTATGCTTGGGACATGTGGCCCAAGGTCACTGGTTTCTGGCAGGCATCGCAAAGACCAGAAGCCTCGGGTCTACCCCTAGTTGCTCTAGACGGAGTGGCTACAGCGTTTGCCCTAATCTGGATGGCATGTGCAAAATCTCCTCCGCTTAGCAGACGGTTACCGGATACGACCCACTTGTGGCAAGATGGAACCTCAGAAAAAGACGCAAGGCCGGCACCGTCAACCATGCTATACAGTTTTGCTTTCCACCTTCTAGAGCGCTCAGTCGTTCTGTTAGAAGGGGGTTCCGGCGTCCGTGGTCGGGTCTACCCATCGACGCATTCACGCTTGGAACGTGGGTAGGAGAGCCGCTGCCACTACCACAGAACTCTCCGACTCTACCAACGCCCTGAATCGCTTGTTTTTCTGTAGGCAGATTGATGTAACAAAGTCGGGAATTCCTAGTCCCACTGTCCTTTACTTCGGCATGGAAAAAGGCATTAGGAGTATCATGAGGCAGTTGCAGCCAGCCACGAATGGCATGCTGCAGCCGCCAGTCAAGCCTCGCTAATTCCGTCTTAAACACGCGTCCAAGAACAAGCTGGTGGTTCATCTTGGGGATTAGGTGGTGTTTTAGTAGGTATAGCCTCTGTTGGGGTTTGAGTGGCGCCTTAGTGATGTTCGTCAAACAGGGAACCATATGATAAGTGTCTGCCCCCGGCTCCGATAAGTATTCCTAAATACTTATAATCGTCCGCCACACTCATAGTACCGATTTCATCGTCCCCAATGTAGTATACCCTCCTGGTGGGGATATGCCACGTCTTACGATGTGCATCGCGTATGCTTAGCGTACGGCATTTCGCAGCATTTACTTAAGACCAGAGCCACGCAGTGTGTAGCAAATACTTGTTATAAGCTTCTGTTGTCCGGCAGCCGTCTCTGCTGCCACAACCAGATCGTCAGCGAATGTCAGCGCTGATAACTTTTCGCCCCCAGTCCAACACCTAGCCCTAGTAATTGCCTCATCAATTATTAAGTTAAAGAGAAATGGAGACCGGGGGGGGGGGGTGTCACCCTGTTTCACCCCCCTAGTGATCAGGATGTCCCTCGACATTTCCCCTTGGCTGGTTATTACGGTTGAGGACCGATCATAGCCCGACATTATGAATGTCCTTAAAGGCTTTGGAATGCCTTTACGTTTCATGACCTGATGGATGGCCGGATGGGAGACGCTATTGAAAGCCTTCTCCATATCCAGAAAAGCTAGGTGCGTGTTGTGCTTGAGCGCACGAGCCTCAGCTAGGAGGGCATCCAGGATCACCAGGTTTTCAGGGCATCTGTCCACAGGAACGAAGGCCTTCTGCCGCCTTTCGATCCTGACTGCCTCGAAGAGCCTGCTGCTCAGAATCTTATGGAACAGTCTCACTATCGTAGATGACATGGTTATGGGGCGATAATGGGAAGGAGAGTCTGGGGTGGGTTCCTTAGCTAACAGCACTGTCTTATTTTTGCGAAAAGAATGTGGCAGAGATTTATTTACCAGCCACAGATTAAACAACTTTGCAAACACCCTGATTGGTAGAGCTTTAAGTAAACGTATAATGATACCGTCTGGGCCGGGAGCAGCATTGCCACTTGCCTTGAGAGCAACAAGGATTTCCTCTGGTGTCATAGGGTCCCCTAGTTGCTGATTAACTGGATCATGGTCACGAATTGGGCGGCGGTTCGGTGATGAGGGTCTAGAGAAGAGTGTCCCCTAGAATGGAAAGAGACGAGCTGGCTCCACCTCAGTGGGGGGTTACTCTCCAGTCTCCGGAAAGGACGCGCGCAGCGGCTTTTGAACGCTCCTTCTCGTACAGGCTCTGACACAGAATGTTCTGTGCTCTTCGCTCCCTTTTTCGTCCGGTCGGAGGTTGGGTTGGATCGTCACGATTAATCGATGGAGGTCTCTGTCGACGCGCAGGGTGAGGGCGCAGTGCGTGGTAACCAGATCTTTTGGCAGAAGTAACCACTCGAGCATGGCGCTCAAGGATCCTATCCACGTTGTGGCCGTTACCACTGACCAGGTCAGTGATTGCCTCATCAAGGAGTTCTTTCACCCCTCCAGTTTCCTGGCCCCTGGGTGCAATAGCTGCAAGGAATTCCACCATGGTTTCCTTCCAAGAAGCTTGCTGGGGAGTCCCGTCAGGGGGAGGGGGGAGGGCGGCATGTCTGGTTCGGCGCCATCTGGGGCGCCCACCGCCGCCCTGATATTGCCTCTCCGTCTATTATTCCTTAATGGGCTAGGATAAAGTTACCGTTATTTAAGTTATAACGTTATCGTTATAATTTCGGAGTAGCAGAGAAGCCCTTTCCTGGTGTTTTGGCCGGAATAATTCTCTATCCCCCTCCGCATTCCCTTGAATTGAGGTCGCTTCCTTCTGTCGTATCGCAGAGCCCAGGTACTTCACTTCCTCTTAGCCAGATTAACTGTAAGATTGACTTGCTGTTAGCCGTTGAGTACTTACGTCACCACATCTAAGTGATCTCCAGGTCTTCCCGAGACATCATTATAGCCTCGACACGGACGCTGCTGCACCCCTTTACTGCTCCCATCACTAAACTCATTAGCCTCTGTAAAAAAAAGTTTCCATAATTATTCATCCTGTTAAAGTATAAGTAACTGTTCAGTGGAAAATCTCTGAAAACAAATGTTTTACCTCGTAGGTGAACACCATCATCGACACAGATGATGAGTCAGACCACAAGTGCCACTCTCAGGTAGGCATTACACAATGGTAATGATCATCGCCTTTTGATACCTGTAAACTCTGGGAGCTTCTCACACTACAGCTATACTTCTTAAGACTATACCTTATATGTAGACTATAGAATAAAGCGCAGACTTCTTTAGCTACATCATTTGTCCGATTATGTGATTAAAGTCATTTTAATTAATGATCCAACCTTCAATGGACTATTTCATAGGTTTGTTTGTGTAATTATTTGACTAACTCAAAAGTGGGGGGGTGGGGGTTATATTAGTAATATTTATTTAATTTATAATTAGTTCGTTCAGTGTTGCAAGATATTATTAGAACTCAAACATCAATATTTGGTCAATTAAATTAACCATCATTTATTATTTAATTAATTAGCTCGAAGCACCAGTCTAAAGACGTTTGCTGTACTTGTTTATGTTGGACACTGAGTAAACTAATAGTTATCGTTAATTACTAATTATTCTTAAATCAAGTGAAATTATTAATTGAACAATTTAAGTCAAGATTCCTCAGCTGTGAGGCACGACGTCCTGGGGTAGACCCCTCCACACTCAATATGGCCGCACCTGGACGTACTGGGGTAGACCCCTCCACACTCAATATGGCCGCACCTGGACGTACTGGGGTAGACCCCTCCACACTCAATATGGCCGCACCTGGACGTACTGGGGTAGACGCCTCCACACTCAATATGGCGGCACCTGGACGTACTGGGGTAGACCCCTCCACACTCAATATGGCGGCACCTGGACGTACTGGGGTAGACCCCTCCACACTCAATATGGCCGCACCTGGACGTACTGGGGTAGACCCCTCCACACTCAATATGGCCGCACCTGGACGTACTGGGGTAGACCCCTCCACACTCAATATGGCCGCACCTGGACGTACTGGGGTAGACGCCTCCACACTCAATATGGCGGCACCTGGACGTACTGGGGTAGACCCCTCCACACTCAATATGGCGGCACCTGGACGTACTGGGGTAGACCCCTCCACACTCAATATGGCCGCACCTGGACGTACTGGGGTAAACCCCTCCACACTCAATATGGCCGCACCTGGACGTACTGGGGTAGACCCCTCCACACTCAATATGGCCGCACCTGGACGTACTGGGGTAGACCCCTCCACACTCAATATGGCGGCACCTGGACGTACTGGGGTAGACCCCTCCACACTCAATATGGCCGCACCTGGACGTACTGGGGTAGACGCCTCCACACTCAATATGGCGGCACCTGGACGTACTGGGGTAGACCCCTCCACACTCAATATGGCGGCACCTGGACGTACTGGGGTAGACGCCTCCACACTCAATATGGCGGCACCTGGACGTACTGGGGTAGACCCCTCCACACTCAATATGGCGGCACCTGGACGTACTGGGGTAGACCCCTCCACACTCAATATGGCGGCACCTGGACGTACTGGGGTAGACCCCTCCACACTCAATATGGCCGCACCTGGACGTACTGGGGTAGACCCCTCCACACTCAATATGGCCGCACCTGGACGTACTGGGGTAGACCCCTCCACACTCAATATGGCCGCACCTGGACGTACTGGGGTAGACGCCTCCACACTCAATATGGCCGCACCTGGACGTACTGGGGAAGACCCCTCCACACTTATTATAACCTGCCCATAACCTGCAAATAACCCGCCCATAACCTGCCCATAACCTGCACATAACCTGCCCATAACCTGCCCTTAACCTGCCCATAACCTGCACATAACCTGCACATAACCTGCCCATAACCTACCCATAACCTGCCCATAGCCTGCCCATAACCTGCCCATAACTTGCCCATAACCTGCCTATAACCTGCTCATAATCTGTCCATAACCTGCCCATAACTTGCACATAACCTGCACATAACCTGCCCATAACCTGCCCTTAACCTGCCCATAACCTTGCCATAACCGACCCATAACCTGCAAATAACCTGCCCATAACCTGCCCATAACCAGCCCTTAACCTGCCCATAACCTGTCCTTAACCTGCCCATAATCTGCTCATAACCTGTCCATAACCTGCAAATAACCCTGTTCATAACCTGCCCATAACCCGCCCATAACCTGCCCATAACCTGCACATAACCTGCCCATAACCTGCCCTTAACCTGCCTATAACCTGCACATAACCTGCCCATAACCTGCACATAACCTGCCCATAACCTGCCCATAACCTGCCCATAGCCTGCCCATAACCTGCCCATAACTTGCCCATAACTAGCCTATAACCTGCACATAACCTGCTTATAACCTGCCCTTAACCTGCCCATAACCTGCCCATAATCTGCTCATAACCTGCCCATGACCTGCAAATAACCTGCCCATAACCTACCCATAACCTGCCCTTAACCTGCCCATAACCTTGCCGTAAGCTGCCATAACCTGCCCATAACCTGCCCGTAGCCTGCCCATAACTTGCCCATAACTTGCCTATAACCTGCACATAACCTGCCTATAACCTGCAAATAACCCGCCCATAACCTGCCCATAACCTGCCCGTAGCCTGCCCGTAGCCTGCCCATAACTTGCCCGTAACTTGCCTATAACCTGCCCATAACCTGCCCGTAGCCTGTCCATAACTTGCCCATAACCTGCCCGTAGCCTGCCCCTACACCTCCCTTAACTCCCAAAACAATTATACTGACCAGAACAATATATTTGACATGTACAGGAGGTTCAGTTATCCTTACGTGTGGGTCAGGTTATCTTGAGGTTATCCTGAGATGATTTCAGGGCTTTAGTGTCCCCGCGGCCTGGTCTCATGGCAAGGTAGGAGCAGCTGGGTAACACGGTCAATAATGGTCTCATGGCAAGGTAGGAGCAGCTGGGCAACACGGTCAATAATGGTCTAATGACAAGGTAGGAGCAGCTGGGCAACACGGTCAATAATGGTCTCATGGCAAGGTAGGAGCAGCTGGGTAACACGGTCAATAATGGTCTCATGACAAGGTAGGAGCAGCTGGGCAACACGGTCAATAATGGTCTCATGGCAAGGTAGGAGCAGCTGGGTAACACGGTCAATAATGGTCTCATGGCAAGGTAGGAGCAGCTGGGCAACACGGTCAATAATGGTGTCATAACAAGGTAGGAGCACCTGGGTAACACGGTCAATAATTGTCTCATGACAAGGTAGGAGTAGCTGGGTAACACGGTCAATAATGGTCTCATGATAAGGTAGGAGCAGCTGGGTAACACGGTCAATAATTGTCTCATGACAAGGTAGGAGCAGCTGGGTAACACGGTCAATAATGGTCTCATGACAAGGTAGGAGCAGCTGGTGTAACACGGTCAATAATGGTCTCATGACAAGGTAGGAGCAGCTGGGCAACACGGTCAATAAGGGTCTCATGGCAAGGTAGGAGCAGCTGGGCAACACGGTCAATAATGGTCTCATGACAAGGTAGGAGCAGCTGGGCAACACGGTCAATAATGGTCTCATGACAAGGTAGGAGCAGCTGGTGTAACACGGTCAATAATGGTCTCATGACAAGGTAGGAGCAGCTGGGCAACACGGTCAATAATGGTCTCATGACAAGGTAGGAGCAGCTGGGCAACACGGTCAATAATGGTCTCATGACAAGGTAGGAGCAGCTGGGCAACACGGTCAATAATGGTCTCATGGCAAGGTAGGAGCAGCTGGGCAACACGGTCAATAATGGTCTCATGACAAGGTAGGAGCAGCTGGGTAACACGGTCAATAATGGTCTCATGGCAAGGTAGGAGCAGCTGGGCAACACGGTCAATAATGGTCTCATGACAAGGTAGGAGCAGCTGGGCAACACGGTCAATAATGGTCTCATGACAAGGTAGGAGCAGCTGGGCAACACGGTCAATAATGGTCTCATGACAAGGTAGGAGCAGCTGGGCAACACGGTCAATAATGGTCTCATGACAAGGTAGGAGCAGCTGGGCAACACGGTCAATAATGGTCTCATGGCAAGGTAGGAGCAGCTGGGCAACACGGTCAATAATGGTCTCATGACAAGGTAGGAGCAGCTGGGTAAGACGGTCAATAATGGTCTCATGGCAAGGTAGGAGCAGCTGGGCAACACGGTCAATAATGGTCTCATGACAAGGTAGGAGCAGCTGGGCAACACGGTCAATAATGGTCTCATGACAAGGTAGGAGCAGCTGGGCAACACGGTCAATAATGGTCTCATGGCAAGGTAGGAGGAGCTGGTCAACACGGTCAATAATGGTCGCATGACAAGGTAGGAGCAGCTGGGCAACACGGTCAATAATGGTCTCATGACAAGGTAGGAGCAGCTGGGTAACACGGTCAATAATGGTGTCATAACAAGGTAGGAGCACCTGGGTAACACGGTCAATAATTGTCTCATGACAAGGTAGGAGCAGCTGGGTAACACGGTCAATAATTGTCTCATGACAAGGTAGGAGCAGCTGGGCAACACGGTCAATAATGGTCTCATGACAAGGTAGGAGCAGCTGGGCAACACGGTCAATAATGGTCTCATGACAAGGTAGGAGCAGCTGGGTAACACGGTCAATAATGGTGTCATAACAAGGTAGGAGCACCTGGGTAACACGGTCAATAATTGTCTCATGACAAGGTAGGAGTAGCTGGGTAACACGGTCAATAATGGTCTCATGATAAGGTAGGAGCAGCTGGGTAACACGGTCAATAATTGTCTCATGACAAGGTAGGAGCAGCTGGGTAACACGGTCAATAATTGTCTCATGACAAGGTAGGAGCAGCTGGTGTAACACGGTCAATAATGGTCTCATGACAAGGTAGGAGCAGCTGGGTAACACGGTCAATAATTGTCTCATGACAAGGTAGGAGCAGCTGGTGTAACACGGTCAATAATGGTCTCATGACAAGGTAGGAGCAGCTGGGTAACACGGTCAATAATTGTCTCATGACAAGGTAGGAGCAGCTGGTGTAACACGGTCAATAATGGTCTCATGACAAGGTAGGAGCACCTGGGTAACACGGTCAATAATGGTCTCATGACAAGGTAGGAGCACCTGGGTAACACGGTCAATAATGGTCTCATGACAAGGTAGGAGCACCTGGGTAACACGGTCAATAATGGTCTCATGACAAGGTAGGAGCACCTGGGTAACACGGTCAATAATGGTCTCATGACAAGGTAGGAGCACCTGGGTAACACGGTCAATAATGGTCTCATGACAAGGTAGGAGCACCTGGGTAACACGGTCAATAATGGTCTCATGACAAGGTAGGAGCACCTGGGTAACACGGTCAATAATGGTCTCATGACAAGGTAGGAGCACCTGGGTAACACGGTCAATAATGGTCTCATGACAAGGTAGAAGCAGCTGGGTAACACGGTCAGTAATGGTCTCATGACAAGGTAGGAGCACCTGGGTAACACGGTCAATAATGGTCTCATGACAAGGTAGGAGCACCTGGGTAACACGGTCAATAATGGTCTCATGACAAGGTAGGAGCACCTGGGTAACACGGTCAATAATGGTCTCATGACAAGGTAGGAGCAGCTGGGTAACACGGTCAATAATAGCATCAGCCCCCAAGATGCTCGAGACCCATTCACTCCAGGTGAGTGTTAAGCCCACAATGCATATTACCGCGTATTATTTATTTATTTAATTACATTATTGTAAACAAACTTCATGGTAATTAAATTTAATATTTGGAATTTAATTTGGAAGATAAAATATGAAAATGATTTCCCATCATTTCGTTATGCAGCAGAGATTTCATCTATTTCCTCGTTATCTCCGTGTTGGCTAGACAGAGTCATTAAGGGAACTGCGTGATTGGGACGGTGTTTGTCAGTACAAATTCCTGAGCCTGAAAGCTGGTCTGTCCTTCTGTAATACTGCGTTGTTTGGTTTGTTTGTTCGTGTGCACTTTTAGTGCCACTTTCTGGTTTTGTAGTGCCCAATACTTTTCCTTTCTAGATATTCTTTGCTGCCTCTCAGTCCTCCTTATACATGTCCTGGCTAATAAATACTTCATAGTACTTCCCTTCATCCCTAACATATATTTTATGCTAGTTTATATTTAACCAGATTACTATTCCTAAAAATAACTTTCACTTGTCAATAACATTTGTTCTGAAACCTACCTTGTGTTATGTGTACTGGCACCATATTATCTTCTCCCACTTAGTAAGTTATACTCCAACTTGTACATAGTCTAGAAGCCGTCTTGGTTTGTTTGGTTACACTTAAGAGAAAGCAAGAAGCCAGAATTTTATGTTATTTTGGTTCCAAGTTGAGTAGAGGAAGGGACGAAGCCTGGCCTGGGAGGACAATATCTGCTGGACCCACCAGGTCCAGCAGAGATCAGTTCCTGCCGAGAGGAAACCGGAAGTTAAGGTACTATGTCTCCCGGATGTAGAGATGGTGATTGGATGGGCGCCAGAGGCGTGACCAATGGGAGAACGCCCTGACGTGACGTGGCGTGACAGGCTCTTGAGGTGGGAGCGCGGGCGCCGTCTGGGTATCACTACGCTCTGGGTCATCAGACAGAAGAGACGTATAGCTCGTCACTCCAGCAAGACAATGTCTAACCTGTGAAGTATACATCTAGACTGGTAGTAATTGAGGTCGAGGACAGAGGAGATATCGAGTAGGAGTTTGGGAGTGATGCAGCCATGAGGAGTAGGCAAGAGAGGTTCC